AACAGAGTGTTCGGGGGAGGGTATAGTTGGGGTTGTACCTTTCTCTGTATCTGTTCCATTGTTTGATCTTCAGATGATTTTACAGAGTAGAAACATTCGGTCCCTGTATCTGCTTGGAGATTGTGTCGGTCGGATCTTACTGTTCACGAAGTCTCCAAACAGATGTTCCTGGGGAGGGTATAGTTGGGGTTGTACCTTTCTCTGTATCTGCTCCATTGTTTGATCTTCAGATGATTTTACAGTGTAGAAACATTCGGTCCCTGTATCTGCTTGGAGATTGTGTCGGTCGGATCTTACTGTTTACGAGGTCTCCAAGCAGATGTTCGTGGGTATAGTTGGGGTTGTCCCTTTCTCTGTATCTGTTCCATTGTTTGATATTCGAGTGAATGCTTACAGACTTACTGAAAATTAGTAAAACAAACATTAGGTCCCTGTATCTACTTGGAGATTGTATTGGTCGGATTTTACTGTGTGCGAAGTCTCCAAGCAGATGTTCAGGGCATAGTTGTAGAGAAAAAAATGAACACGCTACACAACATTATGATACAGTAAATGAAATAAAATATGGTTATACCTCTCTCATAAGCAAACTAAGATGACTTTGCATAAAACATTCTTTCATAAGATAATCGTGCAGAAGACTAGCTATTCTCTCTTTTTTTGAATATTTACATATCACCTTTTTCCAAAACTGTAGGACATGTAGGATGGCACATGCTTTTCTGTCATTCCGTAAGTTTGGAAGCTAAAGGCCTTTTGCCCGGCAAAATAAGGTTTTTGTTGTAAACCGGAAGGGAGACTATTTCCCAGTAAGTCCGTCGCGACAGTTGCCATAGCAACAAATCTATCTGTCTGACTGACCACCACCACCACCTCTGGGTGGTCCGTGCACGAGGCACCATTCATTCAGTCAGTCGGTCGCCAGCTACCCGCGAGGACGTACTAAATTTTCGTTGTACCAACTGACAAACTATTTGACTTATTTGACTCATTTGCCGTATCAACAATACTTACAACTGGACCCCTGAACGTATTCAACTAGTAACGCTTCTACTGTTAGACGAGACGAACCCGCAGACGAGCCCGCACTCCGCGTGGCCGTACCCCGGACCACTGAGAACAACTGCCCTCCTCTCCACCAGCGATAACAGACTCCCAAAACGGTGAGTTCATACGTGCTTTTATTTAGGGTACACTTTTAAACAGAAGCGTTGACAGGTATCATATACAATCATGGTAGGAGTGTATTTTATGTATAGAAACCTTCCGTGTGTGAAGTCCTGATGACGACTTCACATTTCGGATCGTTCATCTTATAGCAGACTCTCAGGGCAGACTTTATAGAAGACTTACATACTCCTCTGTAACCACCCGGCCTGTTCAGTGGTTGTGTGGCTTTGATTGTGAAACGTGTCAATGTTTTGCGCTGGACATATCAGCCTTGTCTACAGCTGAATTCTACGTTTCTTTGACTTGAATATGAAATGTACACCCTGTTTTGAAGCAAATGGTAATGGTATGAAATGTAGCGCTCAGCCCTGGACTACTTTAGTGTTTCCCACAATAATGATTTGAAAAATCTGCCTTTGATGTCCATTGCAATGTGTGTGGGGGCATTCTAGACAGGATAGCCAAACTTGTCTTGTCGCCCTCGATAAACTGAAACCGTCCTGCTTGTGGAAAAGGACGCGAGAAGAGAGCACATGGATGCTCTGATTGGTCAATGCCGGAAAAGTTTGAGCGTGGCCCGTGCGATACAAACAAGGAAACCCCGTTCGGAACAAACGGGGATTACCCCGTGCACTGGTCAACGTAAACCTAGCGGGCGAGAATCGGCTTTCGTGTCCGGCATAAATTTCCATATGGCCCACATGGCGACATTGCCGACATAGAACTATTTTCACGGCCAATGCAAGGCATGTGGCGTGTGAGATTCTGAAACACGTGGTATCTGGATGTCTGGGAGAAGCAGGGCTGCCATTGGTCGAATTAGGTGTCAATCTTGTTGCAGGGCAGGGCCAAAAAATAGTTTATACTAAACAAACTTCAGATTTTAGTAGCCGAGTCCTAAGGCTCAATGAAAAGCGAAATCTTCAAATAGGAAACGAAGCTACCTTCTTGCCAAAATAAGGAAGCCACTTCTTAACATATTTACAGGTAAAGAAGTAAGGTTATAAGCGTTTGTTTCCTCCTTTTCGGTTCCTGCGATAATGACACGAGGCTAATCACCGCTATTTCCCTACAGTTGCCCAGGCCGGCGGGCGTGGAGATACGTAGCCCCTTTGCCTTCTCTCAACCAGGGATACATACATAAAAATGGTGAGTTCATACGTACTTTTATCGATAATTCTACAGGGTGTGGATGTTTGGTAACGTCGGCCAGTTTTGGCTAAGTTAATTTATGAAGCGCGGAAGGACGGCTACTTATGCAGTTCACAGCTGTCATGTCAAGTGTACTTTTAACGAACATTCTATATCAGCCTTGTCTTCAACTGTTTTCTACGTTTCGATGACTTGTTTAGGAAATGTACACCTTGTTTTGAAGAAATACATTTCAAACCGCTACCATTTGCTGTGACTTTCGCACCACGATATGTTTTGGCCGAGATCTTTATGAGGCGCGGTGAGAGACATATTACTGTTGACTTACTTGCTGTGGATAGAGGGTAGCCATTTAAACTTGAGTTTTGTCAGGTATCATATACAATAATGGTAGGAGTTTATTTCATGTATAAATACCTTCAATGTGTGAAGTTCTGTCTATTGTTTTGTCCTGACACTAGCAACAAGCCTCACACCTTATCAGACCAATGACAGCCTTTCTTCTCTCCATACAGTTGCAATACTCGTACCATGTGCCTTAGCTAGTGCGCAAGCTCTAGCCGGCAGTTGCCGTGCTGTAGCCGGGACAATCACATATGCCAGAAGCCGTGGTCACAGCTGACTCAAGCCTCCCGGTCACAGAGCTGATCATGACAACTGACTCCAGTCTCCTTTGTGTAAAATTTTGTTTCGATATTGTTGATGATGGTAGAAGAAGCATGTTGATATCATATGTGTATTAAGTAGTAGCATCGTCGACAGAAAGAAGGCAACATGGGAGGGAACCAGATCAGTAGCAGAGCCATCACGTGCAGGCTATGTAATACATTGCTAGCCACAGTAAACCTTACACCAGTTAGAGATTACTGGGGTGACTTACATACGTCTGTACTACGATGATACATTGCCTGTGTTTTACGGTATCTTAGTGTATATATTGTAATGACCTATTTTATATGTATTTAGAAAACCTCGCCAATGACGGTTCGACTCGAGGAGAATGTACACATTTTGAGAACCATGAATATGCTGAACAATCGGTGTATATGGGAGCTGTGGTACGATTGCACTCTCTAACTAACTTGTAAGAAGATGATAGTGCTAGACCTGATGAAACTCCGAACAGTTCCCTTGTAATTACTTATACAGTTCTCTGTTATTGTAGTCCCTGTTATTGCTCCGGTTACAAATATGTACCTCTGTTATGTGGTAATACAGAATATAAAGACACAGGATTTCTACGACAAGGGATGTCAGTTCAAGAAGGAAAATATAACTCAGTTAAGACTAAAAGGGTTAACGTAGCCAGTATCATATAGTCATAGCCAGTCCGTCTTAAAAGTCTCCCGTGCCCAGTGTGCGGAAAGCCTTGTCTCTGCGTCTTTCCTTTATCCTCACAAAATTGCAATGAAAAGAACTTGAATTCATCTGTTGGGTTTATGTCCAAACACATACTTTTCATAAAGAGAAGGAAAACTACTAGAAAAAAAACAACAACCAAACGCGGTAACATATTGGTTTATATTCAGACAATCACGACATCTCCTTTGAAACATCTGACTTCAAATGCTGACCTTGTTCAATTCCAAACAATGATCCTGTCCAAGCTGTCGGAAAAGCTCCAAAGTCATTGAAAAACAGCTGGGAGGGAAGACCTCACCCGCAAGGTGTTGCCAAAAATGAATTCCCTGGGAGAAAGGACCTCACCCACAAGGTGTTGCCAAAAATGAATTCCCTAGGGAATGCGTGCGTGGAATATTTAGAATTCCTGGCAATTCAATCGCAGTGCTATACTAAGGGCTCCGCCCCTGAGGCGTCGCCAAAAAACAGGCCTACATGTATATAGGCATCCTATTATGGCCCAAAATGGTACGATAGGAGCCATGAAGTCAACACACCAGGCTGGTTCAAAATTTAAACAATGAATTTTGAACTTTTAATGATACCATTGCATTTAAAGATGGAATAACTGTAACAACTAGGATGAAAAGGACTGTTTTCAACTGTTCAGGGCAAAATATGAGCATTTTGCAGTTGATTCTGAATTTTTATTTTCATTTCCAATTCAGAAAAAAATGAAGCGGGCGAATCCGTTACCCAAGAAATTAAATTGGTGTGGCCTAAATGTCAGAAATGTGACATAACTGGACAGATTGAAAAGTGGAAGTAAATTACAATCACATGAGGATTTTTCAATCAAAACTGCAAAAATGCCTCACCGATCATATGCACAGTGTGTTGAAGTAACAGTTGTGTCCACATCGTCACCAATCAGCCAGCTGAACCTCCTATCTGTTCTCAGTCGGATTTCGTTCCAGGCAGACCTCGGGACGTAATCACAGTCAGCGTTCAGGTCACCTAGGATCAGTACTTCCTCAATGCCCCATCGGTGGACAGCATCAGTGTAAACATCTTTCAGGGCGTCAATTTCATATCTGGCCTGACTGGGGCTGGTGTGACATGCAATCAGGACCAGGTCCTGAACAACTAAGAAGAGAGCAGAGGGCATGTTACATCATATGATAGGTCTATAATTATTATAATCTACATTATAATCTACCAAAAAGGAAATAAAAACAAGTTTAAGGGAGAGTATGCCAAAAACTATAATTACTTGTTGTTAGTAGATATTTAAAGCATACCCATACAAATTGCATACCCATACTGATTTGGTACAGTTGTACAGATTTTGTCAGAAAATTACAAAAACAATCAAAAAACAATTTTAAAAGCCTGTGTACAAAAAATGAAGAGAAAAAAAAACTGCCTGGGGGTATTTGCCCACTCTACCTCCATGCCAAATTTCAGGTCATTTGGCTAAAAAATGAGTTGAATCCATTTAAAGAAATGACAGGAGAAGGAGGAAGGAAAGGAGAAGAAACATGAGAGAACACAATATGTTTCATCGTGTGGTGAAGCCATAAAATTATACATTTATGTCCTACTTGGGCCGCGATTACATTCGATACGAGTGCTCCGGCCCGTGTGATAACTAGCGGTACGGCCCGGGGGATTTTAACGCGTACGGCCCGGCCCTTCCAAATGTTCCATAGAAAGATTTGAACGCGTTTAGCCCTAACCGCGTGCAGCGCTTTTGAAAATTCGAATGCAAAATTCGGACGTTGGAATTGATGTTGTTGCGTTTCTTGGGAATAGGGACACCAAATTTTTGCTCATTTTGCATTGAAAGGTGTGTTTTCATGGGTGGGTATGACATAAATAAAAATACAACACGGTGTTATTCCACATCGCCCTCGGTCCCAGCCCTCCTGCGGATCGGATCTCCCTCCGGCCTTCGTCCGTCTGGTGATCCGTCGCGCGGTCGGGCTGGTACCTCGGGCGATACGGAATACCCCGTGTTGTATTCTATATGTATAGTTGATAGTACTTGATCTGTTGTAGTTCAACACACCTGTATCTCTAACTTGTAACCTAGACTTGTTGAATGTATGGATGGTATCCATAACTGTAAACACCACTGTAACAGTTGTAGAATGATAAGAAGCCTAGATTATCTCAGTAATTATTAAGCCTGAACATACTGTATTTTTAGCATACAGATCACATTAAACAAGGTCACATTGACTGGCTCACTGTATTTATGATATAGGGCTTAAGCCGCCTAAATTTGTACTACACTACTGACACATTTACACAGAGTAACCCCTGGACAGTAGTTCAACTCACCGGTGTTCTGTGAGTGGAGCTTGACTATGTACGGTTCTCTCTCGAAGACATCAGTACCATTTGACTCCTCCCCATCATCATAGGTGTAAGTGTCAGGTATGGACAGACCTACGCCATTTCTGCACAAGGAAAGTTCTTTTTTAGCCTAAGTTGAAACAATACTATAATTGTTATTGACTTGTTCCTTACTTTATCTAAAAAGGATGCAAAACCAAAATTTTACTTCAAACTTAGTCATCTTCAATGCATACAGTCTGTGAAAAAGTTATTTTTCATCATCTAGATACAGAAAGAAATTCAATACCAATCACCAATCAGGCAATTACCTGTACAGGTTTTTATATATCTTCCACAAGAATGTAAATTATTATACTGTTTTTGGTAGTATTTGTAGTGGTGTAATTGTAGCCTGGAGTCCAGCCTTGTTGGCTTTAGTTTGCAATTTGGGCCCCCTGGCAGCTTTTGTCAGGTTAAAGCTCAAGAACAGATTGATGGATTGCTATGATTTATGGTATATACAAAACGCTGTACATGTAGGTAGACATGGTTGACATGATCAAATGCTAATTATGTTAATCAGGGGGTAATTTGGATCATCATCATCTGTCATCCCTGGTGGGCGGGGTTAGCTGCTGCACTGCTGTACTCCACAGACATCTGTCAGCCTGGTTGATTTGAGATCTGTGGATTATGACTATATGAGTATGAGTATGAGTGAGGAAATTCTATAGGTTAGCTTTGTTCCATGATGGGACTTTCAAACATGGCAGTTGTAACTAAGAGAAGAACATCGATAAATGTAAATAATTGATGCAAAAATGCTACAATATAGTTGAATAATTGACAGCAATCAATGCATTGTTAGAGGTGAACATCATTGGACATAAAATCATGCAAACCAAGGTCAACATTTGCATAATAGTTGAGAAAATGCTACGATAGTCTTCTTTGTTAAGATGAGACTTTCAAACTTCAGAGAACTTGTGCCACTTGGGTAGAGAAGATAACCCTTAGCAGAGATGTTCAGCTGAGGAGTAATCTGTGGTGTGACTTTAAAGGTGTCTTTTAAGACTTTAAAAAGTCCAAGAGGAAGTATTTTCTGACAGTCTTAAAATGCATTGAACCCAGGATAAACTTCTCAAATACCCCCTTAACTATCCCAGAATGCACAACGCTTTCCTATTTTACCCGACAAGTTATGTTACAGACATAATTACAGGGGCAAAAAAATTGTATTGTTTTGTGTTCTTTGATATCTTATCCAGGATAGGGTAAAGGAAATCCAGTTTCTGATGGAGTACAGTGAAGTGTTCTGTTTTCAGTAAGTCTTCAATAATCAGCTTATTGGTGTACTTGTCTCCTATGGTTTTCACTTGGCCCAGAATACGTTGACTTGAAGTGTAGCACTCCCTTCTGGACTTCAGAACCCCCTGATGTTGTTACCTGTACAGGAAGGCATACTGCTCCTTACTGGTGGTTCTGCCCAGACGATGACTGATGACCATGCTGTAGTTGTTACCTGGACGCCTGGGGGGAGGGAACAGTGCAGTACTGAAACTTACATTAATTTCACTTTGTAGTCATCAAATTATCTTCCATCATATTACGATATTGTTTCAGAGACATTGAAAAGTTTGAATTCATATTCATTTTGGGGGATAAGCAATATGAAGTGGTCAAAATCCTTCATTTTTATTATTCTGTAACATTTCAGAATGTCAAAAGTTTGTTCTACAATTTCAAAAATTAAAAATCTCCATACTACAACCTTCTCAAGCCAATAATGCCTTCATGTATTTACATCTGATGATTCATCAGCTCTGTAACCCATAGTCAAAGTCAAAGCATTACACTAACTGTAATTCTTTATTATCTCCTTTTAATTGCAGTCTTCACAGATCTTTCTCTACAGGAAAATTATCATTCCCTCATACCAGCCAGTAATAATTTCAAAGGCCTATGGTAATTAAAAAAAACACACACACAACATCAGGGGTATTTTCCCACTACATAGCAAAAAAAGGTCTGAAGGAGACATCACACAATATGTATGTATGTATGTATGTATGACAATGTATGGTAACGTTACATGTATGTACATGTATGTATGTATGTATGTATGTATGTATGTACAATGTATATCATAATATAAATGACTAACCCATTCAACAGTTCCAGAAAGTTGTTGATGGCGGTGCCAGATGCATCCCGTATCTCCTGGATCAGAAGTACATCATAGCGCTCTGCTACCTGAGGACACAGATCAGACAAGGAGATTGAAGATGACAATACTGCTGGACAATACTTCCTGTCCCATCGCAAAAATGGCCGCCCTGGGAAATGGGAAGTTGTCAATGTTGCAATGTGTATATTGAGAATAACAGAAACACACAGGAAAACCCTAATAGCATCTATTAGTACTAACTGTCACTGTCCTCAACAACTAGTTTTCTACAGTCCCTGAAGTTGATGGGTGACATTATGCTGACTGCTGAAGCCAGGTTTGACTGCATTACAATATTGTACATGTAACGCTACATCCTACACCCAAACCAACAAAAAAACAACACCGGTACCTGTAACAAAACTGTCACGACATCTGTCTTTCCCATCTTGGCCCTGCCGAAGACTCGAATGTTGAAGGCCCCTATCCTGATGCCCAAAGTGACGTGTAACAGCACTAACAGCAGTGCAGCCAGCCTGGTGAACATCATGACTGTAGTGGACTGCTTCAGTAGTGACTGCCTAGTACAAACTAACCTGAAACCCAGGAAAACAGGAAGGTCAAAAGGCATTTTTAGTTGAAGAATGAGTAATGGAGGATTTTAAGCCTCTTGCACAGACTATCTAGCAGGCAGCGCTCCTTTCCTCTTGGGTATGTTACTATCAATGGAACCTTGATTGTAGCAATTAAGGAGGAAGTTGATTTGAAACCTCCTTGATTCCTTGATTGTAGGGAGAGTAAGCCGGGACTGGAAGTCTTCATTTGCATACCTATTGATGCTCTTCTCTTGTTTGTTACACGTCACATTTGAAAGTCCTATATATCTCTGATAAACTATATATAACGTTAAATGTTCATATATGATTCATACAAATTTCTCATTAATTATGTAAGCCAACGAAACGAATGTCACGCCATATGCACAATAATCAATTCAGCAACAGGGGTGCAGTGTTTATTTTACAAAAGCGATCGCCATGACATCAGCCAGGCAGTGGTCAGTGCAAAAATGGGGGTGACAGTTGGCTAATGCTGTGATTAATAATAATAATAATGAATTTGCAACTCTGTGCTACTCTGCATATGTCTTAAAATATTTACATGTAACTGTTAACGTTAACGGTATGTAACATAACTAACATTATGATGTAAACAGTATTATGATGTAAACGAAAACATTGATCGCTCGAGATATAGACTGTGTTTTGTTAGGTTCTTCTTTAGTTGTTAGTCCCCTGATACTGGGAATGGTAGAGTCCTGGAGAGGTCATACTTTCACTTTCAAAAGTCAGTCCTCCACAGAAGACTGCAAGTTGCAACACCTACCTTCACGCCAGGAACTGCGTCTCTGATCTCTAACGTACAATGTAGCCGTTAACTAACTTTTGGGGTGAGGAATAAGGCAAGAACGGACATATTTTTACACTATGACAACTACGCAAAGAAAAACGAGGTGGGACAGCCGAAGTATGCGATGAGACGACGCTGCGACCCCTCTAGCGTGGAGTGGCACTGTCCATCGTGCAAGGCACTCTGGGATATGTAGAAATATTATGGCGGCTATTTCAAGGAGAAAGTCGGAGATGGCAGCTTCCTTCAAGGCTAGACTCGAGGTTAGTGTCCTTCAAGTCTCAGTAAACTTGAAGTACTGCTTTACAAACTGTTGCTGTAGAATTTTACGTGCACTAGAATTTCCTGTGCGGAACTTTCTTCCGCACAGCTCACAGGGTCCCAAGTACTATAGTGCCGACGCCATTTCCCCCGGAGTTCCGCACTGGATGAGGAACCCGTTACTTTGGTACCTCTATTTTTTGGGGCAAGGCAGTACCAAATTGGCCAGAAGGTGGTAAGAGATATGCTTAGAGATTATGCGATGATGTGAGTTCCTTTGATCAAAAAGTCGTGCAACTTGTATAGGCGCCCCCCTCCCTAGCCGTGGACGACAGGATCCTGTATTATCGTACAAAAAGGATTTCCGAGTCATCCACGGCTCCCCCTACCCAAAGAAACCTGACCAACCCCAGGACGCCGGCAAAGGAGGCTAGGTGTGCACTGTGAAGAGTAGAGCTGTGCACCTTAACAAATTTTAGAATGAATGAATGAAGACCTTTATTGTACAAACATACCCACTGGGTTAGGTACAAAGGTTAACTTGAATACACAAATATATACACAACAAGATCAATCTAGTACTAGCACTACAGTCTGTTACATAATTTCGACTTCTCTTCGCTTCTCTGTGATGTTGAAAAGATAAGAACATACAAGTTTAAGGATCGAGGGTTTGTCTGCATGCCCTTTTTCGTTAACCGTTATGGGCTATTTTAATTTACCGTTAATCGTTGCCGGCCAGCTCTAATTCAACGTTAAGCGTTATCAGTATATTCCTCGTGAAGCGTTATGGGTCGTTTTAAATCAACGTAAAACGTTATTTGTCTTCCTAAATTCAGCGTTAAGCGTTAATGAATAATTCTTCGTTACGCCTAATGTTACCTTTCAAAGTGCAGGAAAATGCGTCATTGAAGGTTTAAAAATACAAAATTTCCCGGGGGAGAATGCCCCAGGACCCCCCTACATTGCTCGCGCCTTTGGCGCTCGACTTGCGCTTCTGCGCTCGGTCGGAAATTGCGCTCGGAAATTGCAGGTAGAGGTAACTTACAGGTAAACGGGTTTTAGGTACAGGTCCCAGACCCGAAACTCAAACTGTACCTGAACAAAAATTATTCAACAAATTCAATCAACCTCTGCCGGCAGTCGAAAGCATCAATAAACCTAATTACTTCAACACATTATGGTCGTTCTACAAGTAGATGAGAACACAGCGCATGAATAGGCACAGTCAGCAGGAGGCATGTGGCCGAATGAATGCCTTTCTGACTGGCTAGATGTTTGATAATAGACCACAGTAAAAGGGATATCCCTAAAGTAATGATAATTTGATGGTTCTCGGGGAGGAGCGCTGTCACGTTTCTTGAATAGGTTTGCCCCGCCCCGGGGTGAGTGCCGGCAGAAGTTGGGTTGGGTGAAAGAAAAATTCCAGTGCAAAAAAGAAACCCTGATAAAAAAGTCTAAAAACACGCCAAAAATAGCCCCAAACCCTAACCTCTGCTTTGACCGTAAGGGGGACCAGCTATTAACACATTTTAGGTCATAAATAAATAGGCATATAAATAGTGTGACATTATTTAGGTACAATACCGCTGTACAGTACAGGTACTGAGGGATTATGTATTTTGGACCTGAATTTAACTAATAAATTTTTCTCGTACAGAATTGGTACTGTACCGTACACAGCTCTATGCCAGTCATCAACAAATTGATGTTGGGCATCAACTAGAAGAGCTGATGATGTGATGTTTGTTGAATTGTTTTAAATTAGAGTCTAGACTGTCCATATCTGGAGGGTGTGGAGGAGTCCTGGATCACTCAGCTCATCTTCACACCAGGAGAACACAGGTTACGGCTCCTGCAGTGGCTTTTCAGCAGGTCAGGTCCCACAATGGCACAAAACTTCTGTTTTCATTTTTATAATTAGTCATACAGATGTACATGTAACTAGAAAGGTAACATTTGCAAGGCAAATGCATAATGTTTACCTTCGCATATGGTCTGTTAACTCTTACTCAAACATATTCATATACTATATGGTCAGACAGGAGTCTAAATCCCTCCTACTATAAAATTGCAACATGATGTAACCCAACACGAGTTACCATGGTAACAGACACAACATATTACAGGGTTAATCGACCCGCCCTGATGTGTATACGGTGTCATAATTCATGGTCGGTTCCTATAACCACCGAATGAACAACCGAGTCCACAGAGCTGGATCAGCTCCAGACCTTAACCAGTGAGTGGATATAGAAGTACACACCTGCCTGGTTATACATGTAGAAGAAATAGTCTCCTGATGTTGGGTTTGTCAATTTTGTTTCTTTCAGGATTGATCCCAAGCTCAGTGATATTGTTGAAGGATACCACAGCACACAAGAGAGAGAACAAAGTAAACCAGACTTTTATTCCCTTGCTAGAACTATACAAATCAACTGACATACTAGATATTTTTCCGGTTCAAGTTTGCACATGAAATTTCTAACCTTTGAAAATCAAAGAAATATTGCATGGTAACAGCAAATCTGGGATGGGAACTTTATCCTAAGGCCTAGGAAAATAAATGTTGTGTTTCCTGTTTCCCGACCGACCCTAAAAAAAACCGCCGACCCCAGCCTTATTTTTGTGTGGACCCCTGCATATTGCTGAACCAAAACATTTTGCACGACGCTACCGAGAGAATCGCTGTCATTGGTGGAACATCGGGCACCCCGCTAGCGTTTTGAAGTCGTGTAAACAACGCTAATAATTTGTCTGATTTGTTTGTAAAACAAAGCCATCGACTCCGAAAATAAGTTTAAAAGCCGATACATTTACGAACTAATCGTAGAAAATTCCCTACCGTACTGCACCATCAGCATGCGGCGGCCGCAAAAATTCGGCAACGCGAAAGAAAAATGTCTGGTCCATGATAGCAGTATTTCTCATAAAAATAATGTATATGATTTATTTTTCCCCCTTTGTCGGTCTTTTAGTCCCAAAACGTCTAAAAAAGCGGAAAGTTGCCCATAAAACCGGACGAGGAAAGGTAGCTATCGACGTAAACATGGCGAAAATCAGCAAAATCGGCAACGGGACAGAAAAATGCCTGGTCCATTTATCGATATTTACCATGAAAATGTCGTCTGTGGTGTATTTTTCCTCTGATGTGAGTTTTTAGGTCGCAAAACCTCTAAAAAAGCAGAAATTTGCCCACGAAAACGGACTGGCAAGGCATGGGGGTGGGGAGGGCGCTGTTGACGCCTGCATGACCCCCAAAGGTTGAAGGTCATAGGGCACGTCCATTGCGCAATAACCTTAAATCGCCGATTTAGCTAATTTTTTGGGGTTTCAAATTGATACAATCACACTATCGATTTTTAGGCAAACAAAGTGATAGAAACCAATTAAAATTTTGTGCAAATTAATTTTTTTTTCTTTAGAATTCTTTTTTGTTTCTTTTTTTTCTCCCAAATCCCTGGGAGAACCCTGAAAACCTGTAGACTTGAATCAGGACCTGAATCTGAAACTGTAAACTGGATGGCTAAACTCCCTTGGCGTGTTATCTCTCTATTTCGGGCCGATTTCTACTATAATTCCAGCCGTGCCCTCAAGCCTGGTAGAGGCTACTGCAAGGGCTAGGGACATCTGTTAAGTTCTTTGAGCTGATCGACCGTTTAAAGCTCCATGATCTGACACCTGAGTACCTGAGTGATGAAATATAATATTGCACAATCGATTTTTCATCATGTTCTGGCAGTTCTGCTTATATAAACACAGCAATCAGCAAAGTCTAAAAAAAAAATAAAATAAAAATAAAATAAGATAATCCCTACCTACCGACCCTAATTTTTTCTGGACTGAAACAGGAAACACAACATTTTTTTTCCTTGGCCTAAGGTTTTTCCTGAAAAGCTGGCAGTGGATTTCCAGAATTCTACAGCTGGAAAGTGAGTGGAATATAGACATGAACAACACCAATTTTAATTATTTGCTGTAATATTAATAGGTTACATGTAATACGTTGCAGCAAACAAAATATGGGTGCATGTTCAGGGCTTGTAATAGTGGGTGCATATATTATGCACCTTGTTGCCACATATGAAGTATGGTACAATATGTGATAGTTTTCTGTTTTTGAACAGTTGTTTTGCATGATCTATGCTTGTTAATGTCTGATCATGAGTAGTGCAGGTAAAAGTAGTATGGTAGTTTTTAAATTTTTAAAATGCTACCTGCACCAGAGTAAGTATGTGGAAAAGTCTTTTCAGCCCTGATATTGGGGCCAATACTGGTCATGTCACTCTATTGTTGCAGGCTATTTTTATCATGGACCAGGTTAGCTACAGGTAGACATCAGAAATACCCCCTCCGGCCCTCCCCTATACCTGCCTTCAATTTTACCTGTACTCACCTGCATGTACAGGACCTGGTGGTATTTCAAGCCAGGTTGCAGAAGAACATACCGGTACTACCCAACAACTCATCAGTACCTTTCCAGCACAAATTTGATATTTGATCTGATTTCTTCAGGGTTATTGTTTTCTGCCTCCATTCTGGGACTCTGTAAGAAGGAAGACCTTGATGTTGTTAGAGTGAGTATGAATATATTTTTTCTACATTGTAGAAAAGGAATTGTTTACTTATTATGCAATTTTGATAGTGATGAGCTGGCTTAGTCTCTGAGCTGAGTGAGGTACCTTTACTAACTGTTAAGAAGAAAGAATAATTAAAGTTAGTATCAATAAGTTGTGTTTTATGGCTAAATCTCATTTTTCTACCTCCATGGCTAAATGAAATCATAAACAGTAAGAACTGAATTTTACCAACTTCGAATGAATTAACTTTTGTTGGCCCTTAACTTTTGTTGAAAAAATGTGTTGTACGCTCGTGAATGACGCCCGACAGATATTCGTTGCCCTGTGTAAACCAGGCCCTAAGTTGAAGGAGTTCAGATGTAGTAATTTTGGGGGTAATTACCAATTCAATCCAAGGAAGAATACCTGTGCTTGATGTATACTAGTACCTACACATGTAACCCCATCTGCCACAGGAATTATCTATAATATAAACAAATATAACATAAAAGACTTCCCATTGTCTTCTAATGAAAATAGCAAGCTTCCTAAACAAGGCTGTGTGGTTTTACACATGTGTTGCACATCCCAGTGAGAGGAGATATGGAGTGCAGGTACATGAAGGAAGAATGAGTCTTTAGACTTTTTAAATTAGACTGAGAGCGTGTGTCTTGCCTATCATGAAGTTTAATAATCAGTAATTTTTTTTCTGTAGGGCACTTGCTCTTTTTCGGTACAAGCATCATTTGTGGACCAGTTGTTAGACATGGTGTGTATCATCGACAGTTCTCAGGATGCCACTCAGAGGGCTATGTCCAGTCCTGGACACATCAGGTCAGTCACATCAAATACTTAGTCTGTCCAGTCCTGGACACATCAGGTCAGTCACATCAATACATGGTCTGTCCAGTCCTGGATACATCAGGTCAGTCACATCAAATACTTAGTCTGTCCAGTCCTGGACATATCAGGTCAGTCACATCAAATACTTGGTCTGTCCAGTCCTGGACACATCAGGTCAGTCACATCAAATACTTGGTCTGTCCAGTCCTGGACACATCAGGTCAGTCACATCAAATACTTGGTCTGTCCAGTCCTGGACACATCAGGTCAGTCACATCAAATACATGGTCTGTCCAGCCCTGGACATATCAGGTCAGTCACATCAAATACTTGGTCTGTCCAGTCCTGGACACATCAGGTCAGTCACATCAAATACTTAGTCTGTCCAGTCCTGACCTTCACATACACGTATGTCCTGTAGTGAGTCAAGACCACTGGAGGAGCAGGCTGAGGCTGACTGCCATCTCATGGACAGGCTGAGCAGACAGTACACCTTCCAGGCCATGTTCTCTCACAAACTGGACCTCCTGCCTCCAGACATCAAACATAGTGTGGAGAAAGGATGGGGAGATGCTGGGCACCAGAAGGGATCAGGGTGAGCCAGCATAGTGGAAAAATCCACATCAAAATGGCAGCAAAGAAACTCTTGTCACGTAAAATAGGTCTAGTCTGTGTTACACTATCTCTCACTTCTGGTGGTTATTGGGCAGGCTACTAGGAGCACAATTTTGTCAGGCTAAAGAAGAGTACTACTAGTATCAGGTATTCTAGTATTTCTACTCTACAGTTACCTAAATAGTGGAGCCATTCACAGATTAGTGACAATGTGTCAATGGTGCCCAAGACTGTGTGATAAATATGTTAAATCAACTGTACAGAAAATTATGTGTCTACTTCAGAACTCTTCTAGCAGTCATCCTGTAATTTATCATTGTATAGTGATAGTGAATTGGATGAAGAAATGATCAAATATAGGTTACCATGACAGGGCTTGAAATGTCGGGTGCATGTGGAGGTCTATTTGTATATAATTTGTACTGAGTCAGGAACAGTGTTTATGTATACATGTGGGTTTTGTATGTGGATTTTCATTGGCTGTATTGGTAATTCCCACAATTTTTAGTATGATCCATACAGTTTTTGTATGATCCATTCTTCTCAAAGTCTGAGTGGTGCAGGTAAAATTTGTCTGGTGCAGGTACAGGTAATTTTCAGTGTGACTTGTACCAGTGCAGGTGTGAAGAAAAAAGGATTTGGAGTCCTGCATGACGTATGGTTGACTCTGTTCTCCAGCCCAGACCCCCCTGATGTTAGTACCTTACTCTGTTCTCCAGCCCAGACCCCCCTGATGTTAGTACCTTACTCTGTTCTCCAGCCCAGACCCCCCTGATGTTAGTACCTTACTGGAAGCAGCAGCAGGGTTAAACCGGCAGCTGGAGATCAGCACAGCTCAGCTGCAGGACCTACAGACCAAGGTGAATACGCATCTTGCACACTGTACAGAACATTGTCATCTTTATTGAAAGACTATGAAAAACTGGACTGGATCACATGTTAATAGGCATGCCATGTGTTGAGCTCGCAAAGGGCTTGGGTTTTACACAGGAGAATACTCTGACTTTCAATGATCAAGTCATCTCTATGGGCACTTCTGGTAATATCTACCCATTCGACTTTCATGGATCGCATAAACTGCTTATGTCACAGGGGGGACATTTTGAAAGAACGTTGTTCTAGAACGCTGAAGTCGAACGCGGCTTGTGCTTGCGGTGTCCCCCCTAGCAGATCATTTTTTACTAAAATGTAAAAGGTAGGTAAGTGTCTATTTTTTCAGTAATATATGCGGAAATGACAGGAAAACAGGCACCAACTTTGTATGGTGGCATTCTGTCAACAATTTAAATAAATTTTAAGGTCATTTTGTTCTGTGACGTATGCAGTTTATGCGATCCGTGAAAGGAACTTTCGAAATGTCCCCCCTGTGACGTAATTTCTATTCGAAATGTCCCCCCTGTGACATAAGCAGTTAATGTGATCCGTGAAAGTCGAATGGGTCTATTCACAATCCACTGCTGACCAGTTGATGTGTTTTATTCGTGTACAAAGTGAGGAGCGCTGGACTTCAGTTAAAAATTTGGGTAAATCCCATTTTCCTACCCATTGTATAGGAAATTTATACAGTTAGTTTGATCAAGGACTTAGGAGTATCCTTGCTTTAATACTGTTTCAGAGTGGATTGTACCGACACAGATAAAGTTTCAAGGGGAGTTGAAACCTTCCAATCTTTCTGTTTTACACTACCAGGACCGTAAAATTTAACGAACTTTTCGGTAGCGTGCACACGTACACGGCGAATGCACGATCGTGTGTTCGGCGTGTTTACGTTTGGGGTGGGCGGGAGTTTGGGGGCCAGTAGGGCGGGGAATATTCAGAATATTCATGTTTCAGGCACCGTGTACACGGAATATTCATGAGAATATTCATGAAACAGCCCGATTTACGGCAAAAAAACAACAACGCATCGCCGCGCCAAGGCAACTGCGCCGCATGCGTAGTGTTTTATTTTGGCAGAGATGACGTAAATACCGCGTAGAATCCTTTCACATGAACCTATTAACAACAAAATACAAGTACCATCCAAAACAACTAGATTGCCCTGTAACACAGTCTACATGATTGTTTTGAGCAGGAAGTGCGATTCTGCTTCTTTTCATCGACCATAACTTTGAGCGAGCGCTGATTTACGAAGTCCCTCCCACCGGGCGCACGTTCTCATGAACGTCTCCCGCGCCTTTGATAATACACATTTACTGTATCACGCGAAGAAAAAAGCAGAAGCCGCTTTGGTAGTTGTATTTGTCAGACACTGAAGTTCTGATAATACCTGTATGTGTCTTACCACGTTTACAATTTATGTCAAAGTCTCAATATCTAAAAAAAAATGCATATCAGCCTCCCAAACATCAACAAATCATTCAAAGAAGCGATGAGTCCTTCGCCCACACGGCGTGCACGCGCCGTGCGCACGGCGTATTTACGGCGAGATACTGAACACAGACAGAGTACGTGCAGTAAATGAGCTTATAGGGCGTGGTTTCGCTTTTATAGCAATAATTTCCCTATCAGCATTTGTATTCTAAAATTACCATGATACTTGTTTTAAGTTATTTTCATGTATCTGTTGACAATTTGTGGATAATACATGGGATTATTAGCGCAGCGGCTACAAGCTGTCTCGGCCGTGGAGCCGAGTTTATTCAGATTCGAGCGCAAACAACTCGTTGGAAGTTGTTGGAAACGACTAGTTGGAAGAAATGATAGTTGCGTGGTGTTGAAACTTGGAGAATGATTGCTGCAAGGTTGAGAATTAAACAAAAGCCGACAGAAAAACTAGCAGACATTTTGCCACAAAACGTACGCCACAAAGAAAGGTCAATGACCGTGCCTAGCAAGTCGAAGTCAGCGGCGTTATAAAAATTTTCTGCAACTGTTATGCTGAAGCTACGATTTGATCATGAGCGCTGTGACAAAATAAAAATAGCGGGGTTTGACACTGTTTGTTCCTGAATAAAACAGAGCTTGTAGATTACGTGATACGCCTGTGATTTTTACGTCCATGCTTTGGCCAAGTCTTTTCAGTTTAAGCGTTCACTATTCCCACGGCTGCATGTACTTGATTGACAGGCGGTTCCCTTTGAAAAAGTTGCCGTCGGCAGCCGTCGGCGCCCCAGAGTCTGATCGGCCTACGGGCCGAATAATTCAATTATCTGAGCAGCCAATGAGCACTGAGAAAAATGTTTCGTCCATCTTCGCTGTAAAGTCGATCTTCACCGACTATAATCGAGGTTCTACGAAGAATCCCGAAATTTGTCGTGTATACAGCGGTGTTTTCAGCTTGTTGCAGACGACAGGATCGCAAGACAGATGATTTGTGACATTTCAGAACCGAGGAAAAACTACAAGACACTGATATTTCTGCATAAAATTAACGAATATTTAATGTACTATGGAAACGTCAGTCCTTCATTCCGTGAGGCTGAAACAGCTATGTCAGATTATGAACCAATTATTTCCTGTCGTGGATATTCGCCGTGGATATTGGACACGTTCTGGACTGTGTATTGTGTGTGCCGCGAGTAAAACTTTCAAGCGAATACACAATAGTTCTAGAATTGCAGTGCAGCACCATTCTAGAAGTTTTACAGGGTGATCAGATTCCACTCGATAATACTAGCTTGACACTGGATTCACGCTTGCGTCCGGCCCGCAACATGAGAAAAATCATGACTCATTGTGAGATACCGTAATTTAAAAAAAAGTAGAGCTGCCGAAAAATGTTACTTACCTGTGAAAACAAGCCAGCTCCCACTGTAATCACCTCTTTTCACATTTTGGGGGGACACTACTTACCTCTAAATTTATTGCGTAAGATCCGTCGGGTGTGTAAACAACATTCATTTTCATTCAACAAAAAATGAGCTGTAGCTGTGATCTGTATACTAGTAATACTTGAAGTAGCGCCCTAGTACTTTCCTTCTTGATACAATCATTCAATCCGAGAACAGGACGTATTAGTTTGTAACATTTTCTAATGTTTCTGAGACACGAAACAATGCTGACTAATTTACTAGTAATTTATTTTCGATACTCATACATGACTGTGCTTTCAATAGTACGAGCAAGGAGGTTCAAGTTTTTTGTATGAAACGCCTACCAAACAAGCAGTTATTAGAAGTAATGGTAGTATTACATACTAACTAATTTTGGGCAACCAAACACATACATAAACGTTGCTTAAACAACTCGTCCTTGTTTCTTGCAACCCCCTATGTTTTACCAAGGAGATTTTCGGATGTTAACGTCATTTTTATTCGTGATATAAACAAAGTAACAAAGAAATTAACTGGGCAACGTGACCCGGCGAATTCAAGTTATACCACTTCAATGCGTATCCGCCACGGGTACAGAACGCCGAGAAAAAGCTTTCGAACCGTCGTTTCTCAGACCAGATTTCTTTTCACAAAATAGAAGAAAGGGGATGTTGCATTTGCATCAGGGCGACAATGATAATTATTTTTTGTTTGACAATACGCCCGTCTGTTTGACAGTGCATAAGAATAGTGAATAAATTACGGGATTTCTAAGAGTGGTGCACTTTAGTGGTAACAACAACAGACATCTGTGCTTAGAATTTGGTCGATTTCGTATACTTCTCTTACTAGTTCAGACGAAGATTTTTTTTTGCCGAAGGTGAAGAAAAATCATCTTTTCTCTTCAAGTGAAGACAGACTTCGATTCTCAAATATCTTAACATGGTCGATATTACAATACACATTTCTGTCTGGCACTGTCTGTCCCTAGCTCCGCATGAAAAATATAACAAAAAGCTGTTACAGGTATGCATCAAATGTCGAGTCCAAATCGGATTTTTTCACCGCGGAGGTTACAAAAAGTTCCACGTGTTTTTCTTGTTTTCACACTTAGTTAAATAGGATAGCAGTGAAGAAAGATATTTTCCTATTAAAAAAAACCTGCGTGAGAACAAAATGCATGTTCTTTAGAGTATCATTTCTTAGTTACTTGTGTCCAAAAGGCTACTACGACGTGTAGTACCAAGGTCCTTGCTAGTACTTGCCTCTGTTAATATTCGTAATGCTATGTTCCCTTTTGTTTGTACAGGCACACAGGCATCGATCGTCTGAGCAAGTTGGAGGAAAGCTATCCATGCCGTTAGGCCTTGCGGGGGAGATATCATTTTACCTCCTTGCTCTTGCCAATATAGAATTGTTTTGGCCAATATCTGTTTTGGTTTTTGTTCCGTTTTGACTTACTGTTTGTTAGCTTGATACTCTGGGAATTATAATTTTACTAACGTGGGGATTCACACATGTCAACAGAATTCAATCAACCATGGAGGCTCTTTTTTTCTACCTCCATAAATCAACAAAGCGAAATATCAAACATTTCAGTCTCAACACTATATGTTACTGGGTACAAGAAGGTGCAATCTAGACTAGAGTTAGGACAAACTATGATCGCTCCAAAAACGATATAAAAACTCCCGGAAGAACAAGTCGGCATGTGCATGCAGTATTCTCCCTCGCTCGTGCAGTTTTAGTCTAAGCACCTGTATGTATAAAAGAGAACATACAAAAAGTTAATAACCTGTCAAAATATATCTTATATAAAAATGGGGGGTTGTGTTCCCGAGACTTTTCCAACAAGTTCTGTTATATTCAGTGAGAGCTGTCGACGATACAAAAGAAAACATGACGCGCAACGGACTTGTACACCTGGTACTGAAACGATCTTTGGCGTCTCCGACTATCACTATCAGACACAAACGGTCCATATTCATTCTTCTATAAATTAGTACTAGACAGTATAATCTGCACAAGGAGGTTTAATCTGAATGATTAAAAAATATCCGCAGCTTTTCGTAGGTTACACATACTGACAGAAAGTAGACGTGTTCAAAATCCATTTAAACTGCAGTAGAAAATAATCAAAGCTCCTTGTGTTTAAATCTTTAAGTTCTAACCTGCTTGTTTTATGTTTGTTTTTGTTACCAAATTATTCCGCATCTAATAGCGGCCGCCGTAGAATAAAATAGAAGCCCTGAAACATTTTATTGGCAGCGTAATTTCCTATATACCGACAACCTCCTTGGTAAAACAGAATGTCCGGCCACAACTTGGCACGCGTGTAGCGAAAGTTGTACCGACTGTCTTTTATCTGAAACTCGAACCGCCCCTTTCGGCGGTTGCGTCGGCGTTCATCAATCAATTTTGACAGGACTGGCCATGGGGCGCCGTGATGTCTTGGGAGAAATGTTCACTACTACGAGATGTGTGTGAATTTTGACTTTCAATATCATGATTACTACTCCATTCCTACAAGAACCCTGACTTCATTTTTGAAAACCACTGTTTTATATAAAGCGATTTGTCGGATGCAATAACTCATGAGGTGTTTATTCAATACTTGATTGATATAATATGAAAAAAAAAATGCCCGTGGTCTTTCCTCCCCGTAAGCACATATTCAGCCCCGTGCCGAACAAATCACTGGCTTTTCGTTTTTGTGTTGTTTACTCGTGCCGCCTCGTGGCCGGCCGGCCGCATCAATGAGGTTTCTGCTGGCCGTGTAAAGGTCATCTTTCGACCAGTTTACTAGTATATCATTCACGCCGGGAAGGGCCTTGGGTTTGGAAAAATTTTTGACCCGGGGGGAAGGTCCTAGGAAATCTTTTAAACACTAATCCTCACCGCTAAATATTGTACAAATTGTAGAGCATTACGCAATCCGTTTCGGCAGCGCCGGCGGGGAGCACATGGCGACGCAGAAGAAATCGGCAAATTACTACGCTGTGTTTGCGGGATAAATGCCGGCACACGAACTTTAATTATTATCTCCAAAGAATTACACAGTTCCTATACGAAAATAGCTGGCCCAAAATGTAAACGAAAGGCAACTTTCGCCCGCAGCTGACTTATTTTGACCGGTAGATATAGGATTCTATTCGTACATATCGTAATGGACATACAATCTCGCGACACTGCGCGCTGACGTGACCGGTATACAACTGTCGTAAAATCAAACGTAATTATTTCTCTACCGTGCAGACCAGCGGCTCATTATCGGTATCCCAGTGATAATGAGCTGACTCCCCGCTGATCTGGACTCCGCCCCAAATGTGCACACGCCGTGCGTACGAACGTGTACACGCCGTGCGTTTGTTTGTGTAACAGCGTAAATCGTTAAATTTTACGGTCCTGGTAGTGTATTTTGATCCACACTAGATTCATTAAGAATCTATTCTTCCTGTGGTCTATTCGCAAGATGTACAATTCAAATACTTGTACATGTACATGTATATGCAAGCTTACAAATGCAACAATTGAGTGTGAAACAAAGGGATGATTTTCTGAAAAGTTCAACTTTTGTGTTGCAGTATACGTATGGAGAACCTGATCCTGCCTCTGTCAGTAAAGTGAGCCGGACACTCGGGCTGGTTCTGTCCGAGTTAGCCCAGCTGCTGACCGGCTTCTCGTACTGCTATGAGCAGGAGCTGCGCCCGTGGTGTAACCGCGCTCCTCCCGTTCTCAGTGAGCTGGGCCCTGCCTTCAGGAGAGTCCACAGTCTCCTCACCCACTTAACCCAGGTAAGGCAGGCTGGGACACTTTTCTTCATAGGCCACACCAATTTAATTTCCTGGTTAACGGATTCGTCCGCTTCATTTTTTTCTGATTTGAAAATAAAAATTCAGAATCACCTGCAAAATGCTCATATTTTGTCCTGAACAGTTGAAAACAGACTTTCCTTCCTACTTGTACAGTTATTCCATCTTTCAATGCAATGGTATCATTAAAAGTTAAAAATTCATTGTTTAAATTTTGAACCAGCCTGGTGTGTTGACTTCATGGCTTCTATCATACCATTTGGGCCATAATAGGATGCCTAGGCCTGTTTTTATTTTTTTTCGCCCGCCCGCTCCATTATTTTTCTAGAAAAATCTGTTAACCAAGAAATTAAATTGGTGTGGCCTTATCACACAGCAGGTAAGTACCCGGTGTGCTCAAGTTGTGGCTCTCCTGAAACTGGACCTCTAGATCTGCTTTACGTACAAAATGATGCTCCTGAATGAAAGCTGCTGCCATAAGTACATGTGGTGAAGTCATGTTTCATCATCAGTACAGTTTACAATTATTACTGCCTTTGTCAGAAGGGTATGTTTTCGGTTTGGGCTTGTTGGAGTGGCAGTGCATAACTAGAGTTGTCGATGGATCTTTTAGTACATGTAGCTGTGGTAATGAAGGTCGAGTTGTCTATGTCTCAGTAACGTCGAAAAGTTAAAAAAAGAAACCTCTTGTCTTGTCTCGTTTTCCTTCTTTGATTTTGTTATACCCCAATTAAAAACGGGTACAGGCAAGTCTTGAGTATTTGATAAATAGCTAAGGTGCCGGTGCAATGTCTTATTGACCTGTTGTCTGTGATACTGTGAGCATTGCAAAGCAATATGGGTAAGGGTTGGAGGTACAGGTACATGTATGTCATCTCTAAGTAATTGCCTTGTATTTTAATGTACTCCTCCCAGCTCCTGGGCAGTCTGGACAAACTGAAGACTTCGTACAGAAGTATCTGCCAAGGAACTGACCCACTGGGAGACCAAGTGTCCAACAGACACGATGGCCTTTTCAACAGTCTAGGTAATGTACAGTACAGTCTAGGTAATGTACAGTACAGTCTAGGTAATGTACAGTACAGTCTAGGTAATGTACAGTACAGTCTAGGTAATGCACAGTACAGTCAAGGTAATGTACAGTACAGTCTAGGTAATGTACAGTACAGTCTAGGTAATGTACAGTACAGTCTTGGTAATGTACAGTACAGTCTAGGTAATGTACAGTACAGTCTAGGTAATGTACAGTACAGTCTTGGTAATGCACAGTACAGTACAGTAATGTACAGTAATGCACAGTACAGTACAGTAATGTACAGTACAGTCTAGGTAATGCACAGTACAGTCTAGGTAATGTACAGTACAGTCTAGGTAATGTACAGTACAGTCTTGGTAATGCACAGTACAGTCTAGGTAATGCACAGTACAGTCTAGGTAATGTACAGTACAGTCTTGGTAATGTACAGTACAGTCTAGGTAATGTACAGTACAGTCTAGGTAATGTACAGTACAGTCTTGGTAATGTACAGTACAGTCTAGGTAATGCACAGTACAGTCTAGGTAATGTACAGTACAGTCTTGGTAATGTACAGTACAGTCTAGGTAATGTACAGTACAGTCTTGGTAATGTATAGTACAGTCTAGGTAATGTACAATACAGTCAAACCTGTCCAAGCCGGCCACCCAGGGGACTCCTTTAAGAGGGTCGCCTCACAACATGACTGAGACATAAATGGTTTCCCATTCAAGATGTTTTAATGTCAAATGCTGTAAGCATCTTCAGTTCTGAGGTGAATGCATGTGGGGAGGGTGGCACAAGGAACATCATCCAGCAGTCAAGGCAAATTGGCTGGTTTCTCCATGATTTCTCATTAGTTATCAATAATCAACATGATCAAAACAAATGTGGTCACCATGGGCAGGTATTGGGCCTTGAGCGGACCCAACTCACAACATTATGGAGAAGCTAACACAAAGAGTACACTGTTACTCCTCATGTGCTGAGCAATTGGGTTCTCAGTGAACATGAAGACCTTAGAACTGGTTGAAAATTTGGTAAGTTCTTCTGGAGTTGGAACTACTGGTAATTTAGATCCTACTCCATAATGTCATGTACCAACATTGACAAAATTCCATGTGGAAAAGACATTCCCAGCTTTGTTCATCTTCATTTTTCTCCTCAGCATCGATTAGCCAATCAGCTGCCTTGAGGCTGCAGGACTGCATGAGTGCCCTGGACCAGTCTGTACGTCGCAGCAGTGCCCTCCAGGACTCCACTCTACTGGCCTCAACAACCTTGTCATGATGTCAAACATCAAGTCATCTTCACCTGGGCTCAACTTTGTCTTCACTTCACTGGAAGTATCACCTGGGCTGAAGACATTGTCTACGTGGTGCCAGAAAACTTGTTTGGAAAATGTGAAGAAATGAATTCACTGACGAGAAACACTGATTATTGTGATAGACTCAGTTTTGTTACAACAGGGATATCTAGCTATATAGGGATATCTCAGAAGGGTCTTCTGGCTCAAGGTGGGTTTGTTCATAGCACCAGGTTTCAGTCTGATTGATATGGTCTAAAGCAAAGTTCTTAACGTTTCAAATCTCTACATAAAATATTACAGCCGCTAGAATTTAGATAATGATTTTAAAGCAGAAATTTTGGGCAAGTCTTTGGATTGCCAAGTTCAAAACCCAAAACAAGCAATGCGATGACAGTACTTGAACCAATCAATGAAAAGTTGATAGTAGGAAAACACTTTGCACCCGCGGATAGCACTCAACAGTTGATTAGTGCACTCTCTGTGGAAATCTTTCCCCATGAGTGGTTCCGAAACTTTGGTGTACAAATTGATCTTGTGGGGATGCTGACATGAAAACACTGGAAGGACAGTCTGAGATAGGTCAGAACAAAATACACAACATTCTTCTTATATCTTGCTGTGTACATCATCCCCTTATTACTCCGTGAAGGAGGTCAGGACTTCTGGATGGAGTGTTGTGATCGGCTGATTTTTCATGTTCGCAGTCAAAACACTGGGTTCTCTTTGTGTAATCGGCACGCAATTTTATACGCCGTCTGCGGGCATTCCCGTGTTGATGCACGAATGTGTATTTTTGCCGTTGCTGCTTTCGCGGTTGATGTAATATTGCAGACGCACCCCTACAATTACGAGGCGAATTGCAATGGTCCAGAAAAACGCGTTGTTTGGAATAGCAGTGGGGGGGGTGGAACTTCATGCAGATACGGGGTGGTTTTGATAAGTGGTTCCAGATGTTTTTGCCCATGGTTAAGAGATGCCAAGTTTTTTGGAAGATGTTCGCAGCCAAAACGCATTCTTCCGTACGTCGCATTTCTGTGTAATTTCGCATGTGGTGTGGCATTATGTCCGGGATGATGCACGTCTTTTTATTTTTACCGTAGCTGTTTTGATATTGGAGAAAATGCTTATTTTCGAAACATCCCCATTTCTTTTAAATGTTTTCGTCCGTTTATGCAACTGTTACTAATTGCAGGGACTGCGCTAATGCCGACCAGTCGCGCTGTCCTGATACACCGCGAATGTGCGAGTGTTCCCTGTAGACCGTCCCGGGAGTCATTTTTTTTCGCACATTCCAGGAGCCAAACCAAAATACGTTCATGAACCGAGTCCAAAAAACCGAAACGTGAAAATTGGATGATTGGACCTGATGTACATTTCTCTTTCTGTAGATTGTACACACAATACACACATCTTTAGATAATCTGGCCATGGCAGGTTAAAAAAAAGGAACCCTGAATCATACTAGATTAGCGTAAATGCATGTTAATGCGTTCAAAACAAGAAAAGAAATTGTTTCCGGGTATTAATCTCTTGAATCACGGCGCTGAATATTGACGTAAAAACAATTTTTCTTTGTTCGATTTATCACACTTCACAGAGAATTGTCGCCAATGGCTACTTCTTTTTGTTGCAATATATAATACTTCACGGAGAATTGTCGCCTATGGCTTCTTGTTATTGATGTAAATAGAAAAACTTTTAACCCAGTAGTTCTTCAGCAAGCTGTATTTTAGTCTGGTGTCCATTTCCTTCATTGCTGCCGAGTGTCTTCTGTCCCTAATATACATTTTGTAAATATTGCTATTTCTGGAGAGAAAAAAGATGTGTCATCTGTAATAGGAATGGATACCACCACCCTTCTGGGCATGAAGTAAGGGATAATGACATACCCTGAGGTATATATGGTGTCATAAGGCCTGGTCAATTCTTGTAACCACTGATTGGTGAGAGGAAATGACCAGGCCTTATGACACCATATACAATTGGTGTATATGGTGTCACTAGAACCATGTCATCCTTTCTTTACTATCTCTTCTTGATTCTGTTTGTAGAAGTACTAGAATCAACAAAGAGTTCAATAAAACCCAACTGGATAAGTCATGAGAGAAAGAATGGATTTTTAGGATTCTAGGTACACCATTTAGATGAATGCATAATCATGCAGGAAATTCTATAATTCCAGTGTTTTACATACTAGTAATGCCATGTTGATTTGAAGGAATGAAAATGAAATCTATAATTCACCATGCCCAAAAAATATTACCCCATGTGTTTAGTCTTTACAACCTTCATGACCACCAAGATTTTATAATGAAGGCAACTTTTTTTTTATTTGCATGCATCAGTTTTGGGGTTCCCAGATGATGTCATCCATAATTATTTTTATAATCAAATCAACATGGCCTAAGTTGACCCAATCTCTATGTTTAGCTTACTATTGGCAAAAAGATGAAAGCAAAGCCAGGATGTACAGAAGGGTAGTTTTATTTATCTTGTCCTTGAAATCAGAATAAGACATTTTCACTATAAAACGCCAGGTCAAAATCGGAAACTAAATTGGAAGTAGTTTGGATTTTCTTTCCATGACAGTTTCAAGAATTTTGCGAGCTCAAACAAGTTCACTCTTGACCTCAATGATTTCCTAAAATACATGACTACAAGTATGTAACTGTTACTAACAAGAACATTGAAATGATGTAAAACAGACATCAGTGTGATCAGTGTACTCACTGTCTCCATCATGGCCTGCGCCTTGATTCAAACAAAACGACGTACATCAAAGTCAGTCAGGCAAGGTCATGTCACATTGTCCTCCAATACACACTGATACAGTACCTACAGACAAGTCTAGACTTTACCACAGCATAGCAGGTAACTATGCCGTAAATTCTTCAAACCAATGTCAAGATGAAAGTACAAATGTATTTTGATTTTGTTAAACATAATGCCTGTATTGCTAGCACATATGAAACTTTATTACGACTGGAAATATGTACATTTTGTACATGACAAGAACCAGCAAGACCGGTACTTATACCTGTCAGTCAGCCAACCCTGAAGTCCCATTGTCTGAAAGGGGAGGAAGAACACAGGGGAATACATTTAAACACTGTCAAATTATGTGGTGAAGATTTTGAATTTAAATTCGTGCTCAAACCAAAAAAGGACAAACAAGATACGGACATGTTGCTGATTTTAAAGGATATTATTATATAAATAATGTTACATCAAATTTCCAACCACACCAGTCTCCTGATATTTACCTGAGACCAGCCTGGGCGGGGCGAGGTTTGGTCACCATGGCAACCATGTCTGTCCCTGGCCTCAAGTCTGTACCTGTGGGAAGACAAACAGATCTGAGAGCAAGTGTACATACTGGATCAAACAAACAAACAACAGGGATCATATTGTCTCATATTGACATCGCATCTATCTACATGTCTCTCCCCCCAACCAAGTGTTCAGAGGTCCGTTGGAGTCTGGATCGCTTCTCATTGCCAGCTCCAAACTGGCATAACTGGGGGGTTTCATGTCCACACTGCTGCAGATCTGTGGGGATCCTGGGTTCTCGTGCAGGTTATCGGTATAGATCTCCGCACACATGTCTTCAAAGTCCTTCTGCATGAAAGTGACAGAAAGTTCCCGATCTTCTGGTGCCGGATAATAGCTATCGTCTTCATCGTTTCTTCTTGGCGGTGGTGTGTGGAACAGACGCCCGCCAAAGGCTTCAAGCTCCTCGGCGAACTCTGATTGGGAAAAACTGCACAGAAAACTGTCGTACACCTCGGCAAAGTCTTGTTCCATGAAGGTTTGTCTGGCTCCTTGGTCCGGCGACTGGTAGATGAAGTCGATGTGTGCCGGGTCTCTGGTGGGGCTGAGCTCGCCTGGCGGGGAACATCGATCGGCAAATCTGGAAATGTCCGAAGAGTCAGCTGAATAGCAGAAACGGTCGTCCATCAGATACTGAGTGGTATTGGCCGGAGCAAGCAGACTTTGACACGGTCGAAGGCACGGCTGCCGACTGAAGCGATGATGACTTGCTTTACACGCCAGCGGCGATCCTCCTTCGGTCTTCCGCCGAGCATGTAGTACTACACGAGGGGATCGTGGTGCCGCCAGCGGGCTGGACCTCTTCCTCTTTCCTCTGCGAATACGTTTTCTCCGTATTAGTGACTGCATCTTGTTGCTGCACATTTGCTGAAAGCGTCGATAAGTGAGCAGGAAAAACGTTCTCTGTCGTGTATGTCGTGCGTCGTCTACACCTTGGATGAACTGTTTTGGAGACGCGTGGAGCAAACAAACGTTTACCCAACGTCGGACGACGTTGCGAAATCGTTCCCGCCAATTAACAGCTGATTACTCACTGCCAAAAATAGTTAACCAATCACCGAGGGCAGTTACGCTTGACATGTGAACGAGCGTCGCGTTGCGGCGAGATTTAATATTGCAGTTAATTATAAAGTAAAGATTTCTAATCTGGACAGAGGTATTGCTTTGTAAGAAGAGTTTGATAAAAAAAATAAAGCAAGGTACACTGTTAATAGTCCCTCTTAACCATGCAGTTATGAATGAATAAAGATTAAAAAGAAGCGCAGACCTCACGAGAAGAAACGAGAACGGGCGAATCGGAGCGGTGTTTAAAATAGGGTGATGTCACAGAAATGCAAGTAATTTGGTAGTATAATGTACAATTCGATCATTGTTGTTTATAAGTAATCATAAAACAAGTCATTATAACATCTCTATTGAATGATATTACGCTCTAGAAGTTCGTATACAAACAGATAAACCCAAAAAGTGCTAAGTAAATTACCTTGCTGTACCCCACACTGAACAATAGAATAGTCCATACACTTTGACCCATTTTTGATACGTAGGTAGGCACATGTGTCCTGAAGAAGTCCGGTTCTTTTGCAATAATAAAGTGGTGTTTCAACATATTTTCACCAGAGGCAGCAAGTGAAAATAAAACGGATCCCAGGCTAGTGTCCTTGCGGTTTCTGTGGCCAAGATTGAATGCGCACGGCTGACAACTTCTGGATACAAAGGTAAAACGTACAGTATGTAGAATCTGTTACAGTCTGGTGCAAGGAGCTAGGAGGTCCAAAATTATAAGCCTCCTCGTAGCAGAGTTGAATCTCATGTCATGAGTAGCCCCCTACGCAGACAGGCAGCGTTCTGCGGTAGCGCGGGGTTTCTTTTCGGGGAGAGCGGCACATGGGGGAGGGTTAGAATTTCGGCAAACGCTGTCTGCAAGCTGTATGGGGCATGTAGCTTTCGAATGTTATGGGAATAATTTATGAACGTGGCTATATACCGTACACCGGGTGTGTATATAAAATCTATTTGTCTTTTATATACATACCCGGTGTGTATATAAATTCTATTTGTCTTTTATATACATACCCGGTGTGTATATAAAATCTATTTGTCTTTTCGGGTGTGTATATAAAATCTATTTGTCTTTTATATACACACCCGGTGTGTATATAAAATCTATTTGTCTTTTATATACATAACTGGAAAGTTGATAGGGCAGACATTCGAATGATCTGTCGCCGGTTGGTTATCCAGAGTCACCAAAGGGACTGGGGCGAACCCCGGGTTGGTCTTGGTCTGATAAATGCACGCCAGACCGTGAGGTCGGCGCTTCTTCCGCATGTATTAGCTCTAGAAGAGGGTTACCACAGTTATCCATGTAGGATGTGACGATCAGAGGAACCATAACTGATTTAATGAGCCATTCGCAGTTTCACTGAGACAGTTTAAACTTGCACGTGCATGGCTTAATCTTTGAGACAAGCATATGACTACTG